TTCTCTCTCTCTCTCTCTTTCGCGAATTTATTTACTGACAATGAAATTGATATATATCAGAGAACTTTAATAATTTCAACTAAATTTTTAACTCGGTCCTTTAAAATATAAATCAATTACAAGTGTAAATGCCATTTAGGATCTGGCACAACTGGAGGTAGCCACTTAAATTACTATATGTGAATCCATATACCATATTTAATAATTTCTCTAATTCTCTCTCTCATGCTCACTTCACGTCTGGGTCTTGTCCCAGAGCGTGAAATAAGTAATGATTCTAACAATGCTCTCTCTCGCGGATTTATTTCCTGACGATGAAATTGATTTCTTGAGAAGCGCATCGGTTTTCAGAAAAAGGAGTCGTGAGATGCGCTCAACCTTTATACCATTCGTATACAAATGCATCCGGCGTATAAATGCGTGCGCTCGGAGGTGCCTGGAAGTTGAAACCTGCACGACCAGCAAGGTCGAGGAACCTAACGCAACCAGCCCAGCCGTTAGCGGCGAGATATAAACAGAAAAGAAATGAAAGAGACAAACCTATATCTTCTCGCTTTCGAGATTGCTCTCGAACACTTTATATCGAACGTCTCAAAAGTGGAACACTTTGAAAGAAGAGGAAACGAAGACCCTCGAAGAAATCGGAGAGCCTGTGAGCTATATCTTGTCAGGCGCTCGAAAGAAATCGACACGAAGCGAAGAATAAATCGCAGCGTTTTGAACTCGTCCTAACGCAAAGATACACAATGTCATATTAAACAGTTCGAGACGAGCATATTCAAAACAGAGACAGAGTTATTAATAATAATAAATATAACTCTGGAAGTTTCTGCTCTACTAATCGTAAGTCCATTGTTCCTTTCTCGAATGAGGTTCTTTTCGCGTCGTATCAGGTCCGCGGTATTAGAATACTAGGCACCGCGGCAGGTAAGCATGACGTTACGGTAAAGTAACGGACAATCGATCTTCTCGCATGTTCCACTTATTCTTCGTACCTTGCAGCGTCCAAAGTTTAATGTTCAACATTCAATGTCATTGGCATCGTAAACGGGCCGATCGGCGTAATTTATGCATCGTGATTTTTCCTTCGCCCGACCTCGTCGAATCAGACGCGATCTAGATCGAGATCCGTGTTGCGGCAACGAGCGAATCGTGTAGCATTGACGATTGTTTCATATTATTTCTTCAGATTGCGTAATCATGTTATTACACGTACTATTCCGTGTTTTAACGATTAAAGAAACTAAAAATCTGGTCGATCGCTTGTATTATCTCGATAGGCGGCATTCTCGGGCAGTTTACCTCAAGTGCTTCCCTCACAGAAATCCCATTCAGCACAGAAAGTTAAAATAATGTTCCTGAAACGTTGCAATGTTGAATGTAAAGTATAAATATGTTTTCAACGTTGAATCTAAGTTAATTTTTGTACCTTGATTCTTTATGTTGCTGCAACGTTAAAACAATAGTGAACGAATTATTTTTTAATACTCAATTGCGATTTATTGCTATTATGTGTCTATTTGTTTTTTAGAAAATGTCTGCATATCGAAGAGAACATATAGTACCCAGTAATCGCTAAATAACGCTGGAATATTTATAAAATGTTCCTAAAATTCAAAATTAACATCCCAAGAATATATTTCTAAACATTCCGGAATATTTACAGAATATCTGAGAAGTTTTGCTAAACGCGGCCAATGTTAACATAATTTAACAATATTTTCTGAATGTTTAATTGTAACGTTTACAAAACATTACAATTCAGCGGACATTAGACGTTGTGCAATATTTTTTCAACGTTGAATCTATATATTCCGTAACATGGATGCAATATAACAATGTTGTAATGGAACGTTTCGGAGATGTTGATTCAACATTTGTATACTGTATGGGAATGTAAGGGAAATAATTACTGGAGAAGCACCGCACATCAGTAAGTTGTAATGATTTATTTGAGGCCTGTATCTACGATGCTGGAACTTGGATCAAGTTCGAGCATCGTGGACGCATGCCTTCACTGAACTCTAGTAATTATTCGGTGCTTCTTTCGTTCCCAGTAAATATATTTCCGTAAGGGTTTTGTTTGCGGCTGTACTCATTGAAATACACGACGACAATGTAAACGTCCGCTAAAAATTGAACCTTGGAGTACGCAAGGTCTAAATTCTCCTTGACGACATCAGGATATTCCCACGGATCGACTGTTGCGAAGTCGCGCTCCACTCGAACGACCGTCTCTTTTTCGGTTCCGAGCGTGCGACCTTGGGGAATGGCCGAAAATTAACATACGACGCGACGCGCGTTGATCTCACCGCCTCCTCGTTCCCAAAAACGGCCGGAATCCTCAATCGAGTATCATATCGAAGTAATAAAAATGGATCGCTTTGGCTATTCGAGGCGCAGTAATTACGATACGCCACCGCCTTTTTAATTCCCTCGCCTTCCGCGTGGTAGCTTCATTATTTCTCGGCCGTTGCTTTACAAATTGCAGATTGTTAATAGATTTGTTCATCGTATTTTCGATTCCATTAAGCCTCTCGAGATGGAAATGAGTGGTAGAATTCGTAGAACAACGACATAAAACGAGTTTAATGTGGTGTAAACACGTATTATATGATCGATGACGCATTTGGGATTTTTATATTTCTCTGAAAATAACTAAAATTAGTCCTATACCGCGCGATCTTATCCCGTATTCTTCTACACGCTCAATATGTACTTTTACTATTCCTTATTCACAGTCTCGTCTTTCCTTCCGAAGGAAATTAATTTCTTTGTACATCCGCCCTTCGACGCACGTGGCAGGAATTTTCAAACGGACTCCGGCCTGAAAAATTATATAAATTATTGTAGATTCGCGGTGAAAAATTCACGAAGAGAGCAAGTTCTTCGCGAGTCGCGTCCCGGTATTTCTTCCAGATTTTTTGGACGATTGTACGCAGAACCGTGCCAAAACGGTGCAAATCGAGGATATCGCGGCGAGATACGTGTCCATTTGTGTCGCGAGAGATAAGCGACTGTTTACGTTAGCGGTCGTAGAGATATAGGATGCTCGCGAACGGATGGAGGTTCTCGCGTGGCTTCCCCTCGCAGCGGGCTGCGCCCATGCCGCGGAGCGTAACGTTCTCGTTCACTCGAACGGCGGAGTTCATCGCCGTGGAATGCGCGACGAGGAACAATGCGCGAGGAAGAGGAGGAGAACGCGAAGCCGCGCCACTTCCGGCGCAGACCGGCCGTCATCGTCGTCGCCGTGGGAAGAGAGGGGACGAAAGAAAGAGAGAAAGAGAGAGAGAGAGAGAGAAGCCGAGCACTTTTAATATAACACTGTAATTACCGCTGGTTGGACTAAACGTAACCGTCGTGCCGCGTTATCTCGCATTCTCGCATTCCTTGAGCAGCAGAGGATGACACGGGGGAGCCACAAAAGGTCGCGACGATTGCGGATGCGCTCCTACTTGGACTTGAAGCGCGCGTTCGCGATTAAATTAACGAAGCGATCCAGGACTGAGGTGCACCAGGCGTATCGGTTTAAGAAACCTCTCCCTGGGACGAAAAAAAATGCAACCTCCTACTTTCTAATGGCCTCAATGAATTCGTTAATCTGCGTTATACAATGCGAGCGTATCTTCCACTCTATACACTTCTGCGTAACAGAACAGCGTGCCCCGTTTAGGGCTCGACGAAGTAATTCCGAACGGGAGTCTTTCCGGGATGAAAATCTGCAGTAGGCATATTTGAAATTTGACTCTCTAAGAAATCGCAACTTGGAATTTGATTGACTTACTCAATGGGAGAATTATATATGTAACAACGAACGAGTCCCTCTTTCTCTCGATGAAAATGAGATGAGGGACAGCATTAAATTGTTAATTACAATTTTTAACGCGAGCAAGAGCTCCGAGGTTCAACCTCCGAGGTCTGAGAAATTCTCATTTACCTCGTCAAGGGTACGTGTTTGCTAACATCGGTTAACTCCAATTTAACGTATTCATCCTTTCAGATATCAGGGGTCCGGAAATTGCGGTGAGCAAGTCAATTATGAAATATACTTGGGTTCTTTTTAAAACCGAGTACTTGGCGTCGCCGCCGTTCATTGAATCGAGCAAGACGACGTCGTCCCGGCGAGAAGGAGCCGCGCGATGGGAGGAGAGGTCGAACGACTTCGGAAGCGGTCGAGGCCATCTGTTACGCTCGGTTCCCACGCTTCCGCTGCCCGCCGGTCGTGCCTTACGGCCGGCATTTTATTCCAGTGAGACACGGTACCCGGCGCTCACGCACGAAATTCCACGAATCATATGGCAGCGAAGAAAACCCCCGAGCGCCCGACGTCGTCGTCGTCGAGGCGCAGCATCTGGCGACAATATTGAAATGCGGCGGCTGTCAAGAAGAACCGTTCTCTCAGCGCAGGATTCTCGCATCTCGGAGTCAACGGTCCCGCCGCAAACTTATTCCCGGTGTCCTCGCCGGAAACGACGTTGATATCGGCAACCGCCGCTTCCGTCGGTTCACCTAACGGCGAGTTTCTCTTTTTCTTTTTCCGTGTGCAGGTTGTATTATTGTCATCATGAAAATTTGCCGTCTAACAAAATGAGGACGAATCGGGTAAGAGTATACCAACGCCTGGACATGCACCTATGTCTGGGCATTCGTACGTAAACGCGGATATCTAAACTTTCAGCCATGAACTTACGTATACGTACATTTAATACACGTATACATTCCACATTAAAAGTTTAGGTATCGTCCAGATACAGGCGCATGTCCAAGCGTTGGTACCTTTACCTTATGCGATTATCCTACGCGTTCGCTCATATTATACATATCTATCTTGTTTATTGTAATCTTCCGATCGTACAGTGCGTATAAAAACACGTTAAGTGCCTCGGATATTTAAATTAGATATTAGGGAAGCATTGTTATTCCAACGATTAGCAAGGTGATTAGTGAAAAGCCAAAAAAAAGGGAAAACGAGGCAAAAAAAATAAAAAGAAATGTATCAAACCTCGTCGGTAATTATAGGCGCTTTGTCCATGGTGTCGTTGATCGGGCTGGGCGGTGACGTGGGGCTAGCGCTGGGGCTTACGTGGAAAACCTTGGACTCCTTGGTGGGTCTCTGAGGTGACACCCTCGCCGGGAAGCTCAGGGTCTTGGTCCACTGTGACAGACCGCGCACCATCTTCAAAGTTAAAGGCACTAACGTCACTCGCGCAACCGAGTCCGGACTCGGGTCCGCCGTTGGTACCATTCAGTTTCGCGGCACGCGAAAGAGGGGCATGTTCGTCGCGCTGCTTTCAGTTTAAATCGCGTACCCGCGGGCTCGAGTATATTCGCACGTCTTACTCGCGATCCGTATTCCAGGAAGTCTCGCGACCCCGAGCGATTCGTGACACTAAATAGGAAGTGATCTGCCCGTACAGTACAGTACAGTACAGTACAGTACAGTTCGATTCGACCGCGGTAAACCTCGAGAAATCTGCCGAACGCGGACCTATTCAAGATGTAGCACTGCTCTCGGCTTGGTAACGCGCAAGACCGTGCTCACTGATGAACTGGCACGCAAGCTGTGACTAGCTCCGCGGCTCCTCTGGACCCCATCATGGTGTCGATGGAGACGACGAGGACGGCAGTAGTGGTGGTTACGCCGATGGTGGAGGAGGAAGAGGAAGAGGCGGAGGAGGAGAAGGAGGAAGAGAAGGGGGAAGAATCGGTCGCGAGCCAGAAGAGCCGTTGGAGCGACCGGGAGACTGGCTCTGCGAAGGATGTGCATGATCATGCGAATGTAGTTTCCCAGTTTCTCGTTTTACCCGCAGTCATTATCCCCCGTAACTTCCTGAAATCTCTCCCAAAAGAGTGTGGGAACTCAAAAACGACGAGTGAAACGCACGAAGCGATCTAACGGTTTTGTAAATTGTAACTCAATGCGGTTTACAAATGCATAGGCGACTTTTGGTCAACGCTGATGAACTGACTTCATTTGGCTGGTTGATTTAGGATCTTATCTGTAGGAAGTGGAAAGAAATGAAGAGGACTAGTTGAGTTAGGGCTAAAGATACTGGTGAAACCGGTCTTTAGACCAATCCGCCCCCGCAAGAATAGACTTTTGTTTTGAGAGAAGATAACTGGAAGGGAAACATGATAACTGAGGGAAGAACACCGTCGGGAAGCGGAGAGGGGGGAGAGACAGGTCGTGAATGAAGGAGCATGTGCATGTAAAACAGGAATGCGCCATCTCTTTCTTCTTCTTTCTCTCTCTCTTCCTCTCACAATCAGACGGCGAACAGGTACGATCTTGCACAATCCTGCAGAGAGTACCTCTCAAACCGTTTGCTTAGATCATTTCATGATAATTAAGACATCGTTTTGCTTCTAAATTTAAAGCACATAATTATCAAAATATCTTCCCTTCCACCTTCTTGCCGAGTGCCGATGAGAAACTTTGGCGGTATTGCGCGATTCCCTGGCGTAAAGAAAACTGATCGGCGTGCGAAGAAAGCCTTAGGGAAGAGCCTGATTTCCGTCTCGATACCGGAATGACCCCTTCAGAGACAAAGAGCTCTATCGACCACGCGATTGGAAAGAAAAGAGAGAGAGAAAGAGAGACAGACACGTGTTGCTAACTGCAGGTTTGTGGAGTAGCGAGCGGAGGTGGAGGGGGCGAGAGAGAAAGGGGGAAGAGTGGGGGGAGTAACGACATTGTTGGACCTATATTGCTGCCCGCGGTATGCACACCGTGCATTCAACTGTGCGCGGACCGGATCTAACCCAGCTGCGGCCTTCTTCGACCTTCCCCCCACCGATGATCGGCGAAGGGGAGAAGCCCCGGCACTCTTGATCGGCGACCGCCCATTCCAAATCTTCTTCTGACAATCGCGAAAGCAATCCGCCCGTGGATCACCGGGCTCGCGTGGATTACCGGCCACGAAAAAGCCGTTCGCCGATCGAACAAATATATCTAGGCGCACAGTGATGGACAGAATGGTTGCGGCACGTTTCTTTAAAATGAGTTTAGGGAACGTGCATTCAGAGTCAGGGATCTCCAAAATCTTCTTCTCCGAGATTTTTTTCGATGGCCATCCCGAAAGCATTTCGAGGGTTCCTAATTTTTTAGTAAAAGTTTCCTCAGAGAAAATGTTTTGGAACGTAAATCTGAATCTACATGCGCGTTCCTCGTTAAAAAAAAAGTGCCTCAACCATTCCGTCCATCACTTTACACGTACCTTGCTCGCCATCGCGAGGGGTTCCTCGCTTTGGAGCGTAACGATTAATTATCATATTCGTCTACTGTTTAACGCCATCGTTTGTCTAGCTCTACTTTTTTTTAGCCGCTTACGAATTGAAGAGACTTTTTTAAGATACGTGTAAATAAGATAATTGATATGTATTTTTTGAAGACAGTAATCTTCAGGAATGAATTTTTCATATCGTAATATAAAAGTTATAATCAGCAAGTAACAAGAGAGCAGGTTTTAAGAGTCAAACGCGGTTATTTTTGCGTGAATTAATACCGCATGTAGGGTACTTCGTTGATAATCCATAATAAATAACAAATCACGCTCCATCATCCTCAGCGACTCAGCGATAAAAATTAAATTATCTCACACTCTTCGACGAGCATAAAGTGAATATTCAGAAGTGGATTGTATAAGGATAACGCTTTTTGTTAAAAGATTCCTCGAAGTTTTGCTGATATTCATAATCTAAAAATTATTCGGACTGAAATGAAAATCGGAATTGAACGGTAAAAAGAAGAGAAACCCATTCACCGAATCACGTTCAGGGAATATGAGATAGAAAAACTGAAGCCCCGGAAAAAGATATCGATAACTAACACGACTTTCACGTAACCGTGTTTGATCAAAGTCAAGATAACATAATCGAGAAATGATGTTTTTATAATAGAATACAGAAGGGTCATATACTACAATTAGTAGAACAAACGACTGTTTGTCATGGGCTACTAAATGTCAAGAGATATCGATAGCCTTCAACCTTTCAATCATTTTTTGATCATACATCGAACTGAACTATTTATTCGAGCTAGCAACTATAATAGTACACACACGGAGAGTTTTCTCTGAAAATTTACCTTGAAAATCATGTAATCGTGGGACAACACGGCATTTTGAAGAACCTGATAAGAGTTTTTTAAATTTTACCACACATTCTACTAGTAAAATGTATGGTAAAATTTAAAAAAATCGTCATAAAATTCTTCGAAAGGCCGTATTGTCCCACAACACATCGCATAATTTTCAAGATAATTTTAAGAAAAACTTCTTTCTGTGTAGTAATAAAAAAAGAAACCTGCGAAACATTTGTACCTATAAGATTTAAAGTAACGAAAGCGACATTTTTAATTAACGCTGTTACTTAATGACACGTTACTCAATCGTTCGCCAATCATACGCTTGTACTCGACGCCACGTGCATCTGTCCCTCGTGGACTGCAGGTGGAACGTGCGCGAGCAATCTGCATGATCGCGACCCGATCGGAAAGTTTTCTCTTTCGAGGTAGGGATTTTCGCAGAGTCCTCGTGCGCTGTCCTGCGCCCAGACGGGGCGTAGGACACAAAGGTGTGCCTTTTCGAAGCGCGCCGACGAGGAGCACCTGGCAAGATGATGGGAGGGATTGAGCACATGCGGAGGATAGGAACAGAGCGCGCACCGTCCGGGGAGTAATGTTGGGAAGTGTGCAGCTGTCACAGCAGCTGCGAACCTCCTTCTGTCTCCCTCTTCTTGCTCGGTGACTGGCCAGCTTTCCTCCGGCGCCTCCTGCGCCTCCTGCGCCTTTTGCCGAGCATCGGCTGCACGGCCGCCTAATTCCTGCCCTGGCATACTGATTCTCTTACGGATTTTTATTCTCCGTCGCAGTGAATTCATGAACGCAGCTGGAAACCGTATCAGCATAGCAACGGAGGGCCAAAAGGTAGTCTAGAGCACGTACTAGCGATTAGAATGTCCTTTAACCGACTTTACCACGTCCTTCAGACATATTTTAAATACCTTTGGTGCTTCTGCGTTGCTTGGAAACAAGTCTATCGGAGTACATTTCATCAAATGTATTGCTTATGCATAATTGTTTGCGAACTTCCAGACAATATGTTCGCTTTCACTAATATTATATTCTGCTTGATATAAAATGACAGATTTCGTTTAGCCAAATGATATAATAGATTTTTCAGTAAAGAGAGAGTTGGCCATTTTATTTATTAATGTTTATTAAGAAAAAGATCATTTCAATTATATTTTTATCGTGATACGCTGATTAATATATTGCACTTAATAAAACGCTTATCTCGATGGTTACGAGGCAAATTGTTCCTTAAGTAATCGGTGACTGCGATGATTTATTTTACGCCAGAGAGTGGCCCGCATCTTAACTCAGTTTCGAAACCAACCACCACCATCGCGAGGAAAAAAAAGCATCCTTGCTTCTTTCTGAAACGAAAAGATCCGCCTGCATCTGTGCTCGGCATCAGCTGCCTCTTGTGTAAAACTAAACTTCCTACCCTGCCCACACCAGCTGCTTTCTTATAGCATAGCCATAATGAATGTGTTGTGCGACACATTTCTAAAATATATAAGAACAAACGAAGCTGCGTTACACTCACTGATCTCTAATTTTCCATATTTTTTTTGTATCTCGTGTATTACTTGCATTACACGTCGCATGACGTTTGTCTCTTTTTACTGTTACAATAATTCAATTTTACTTCCATTATATTGCGTGGATACGTATTGTACAAGGGCGGGGTGATACACTAACAATAAGCAAATTAAGCACCGCATGGGGGCACCATTATATTCTTTATGAGCGCCTAACGCCGCATGTGTTACGTACAATAACTTTGAAATTTTTTTTATTAATTCCGGAACGGACAAAAGTCGAGAATTACTGTGCAGCACTATGAGTCGATGTAATGGACATTACACCCTCAGAAAGGATTTCTGTTACTGAGACAAAAAGATATTCTTGACGCACTTATATTTCTCACAACCTCATTCAGTATAAAAATAAGACGATATCAAAATAAAATCAAAAATTCTTATTCTCCTCTATCGAATTAAACAAGATTGACTTATTGAGACAAAAGCAAGTTATAGAAGCGGAAGTTTATATATTCTTGCGTATAGAATAGATTTTCTCGTTCGCATGTGAACAAGAGAGAACGAAATAGCACAAAACAGAGTTTGTCCTTTTCTACGTGAACCTAGATATATTATCTCTATGAGTGATACATATACAATTCTCCATCTTTAGATATGAACATAGTAGAAAACAACTTTCAGGAAAAAAAATAGGAAAATTTAGTATTTACTTAGTTTACTTGAAATATTGTTTTAGTTTGACTAATGACAGTCTTCCTGATTTAAATGATGCATGAGGGCACCGAACAGCTTAGCGCCGTCTCTGCATGACATGTATCGTTCAAACGAGTCCAATTTTTGCACCAGTCACCGTATGACTGTTCGCTGAATACTAAATAATAATGCAGTCGATTTAAATGAGCAGCTTTATCTGATTTTATCATTTGAGCTTTCCGACGAGACGACAGACTTGGAATAACCTTATCTTCGTTTGTATAGCAAAAAATGAAGAGAATAAACCGTATTCGTGTCCTATATCTGTATATGGACCTTTACGGTCACTCGTGATTATTTACGCTTGCGTAATCGACGTTGGTATAGCTAGCGTGGAAGCGCAATGGAAGACTCGTGTCGCAAAACAGCCAGGTGAAAGGAAAGTTTCGCAGCGTTTCGTATACTAGATAAGCTAGTGGATTCTTCGGAGTAACGTCGGGTCTTCGACATATTATTCGCTTATCTCAGACCTTGAGTCGGGAATATCTCTTTTCATTTCACTCGCGATATCATTTTCAAAAAACTTGTAGCAATAGTTCTCAGTATAATACACATTGTGCAGAAAATAAAGCGGGAGAGAGAAAAATGTAAAAAAAAAATAGATTTTATATATCTACACAAATCGCGCCGAGATGGATTGTTGATACAATATCTCTAAAAAACAGTTCCATTTTTCTAAATAAGCTGTCGATTCTCTAGAAGTGAAGTTAATCGAGATAAAAACGTGATATCAACGACTCTGAGAGACAAACAACGTGAGCAACGCGAGACATCTTGTTGGCTTGTTCCCCTATTTTCTCGTCCTGGCGCTCTCACTGCCAGAAGTGCCAGAGCTTCATCTCTTCTTTTCTAATCAGAATCATTCTAAAGCCAGGAAATTGGAGCAGGCACAGAGCAATCGATACGAGCAGCTGTCCGAAACGTGTCGGAACGGCGGCAGCTGCACCGAAGCGCGGCGCATTTACCGCCCAATTCGATCGGAGTAGAGCGCCGATCGCTCACTCGCTCTTCCGCACCTACGTGCGCGCCGCGTGCACGTGTGGCGGTACAGTCGGGCGTGTTAAAACGGTACCCGGATCACCGAGGCCCGCATTCGCGAGGATACTCCGAAGTGACGAGAATCACCTGGTGATTCTCGCGATTGCACGGACGGACCCGTGCGATTAATCGTACATACAAGCAGAGTCGCTTTCCTAGCGTTGGCACAGTGCATTGGTTAAATATTGACTAAATATTGGTCCAATGTTGGTTATACAAGAAATGCATTGGCTGATATTGGCCATGGAAAAAATGTAGACGTTGCACGATAATAATTATATAATATTAGATTTATATCGAAAGTGCATTGGCCAATATTTAATAAGAATATTGGTCTAATATTGACACAATATTAAACGAACATTGCTAAAGAGACACCCCTAGTAGCACAGTGCATTGGATAAACATTGGCCTAATGTTTGGCCAATGCACTGTGCTACTAGGGATATTGGCTGAATAAGAGAAGACGTCCATCTTACAATATTGGACCGGTATTGGGAATACTAGATTCACATTATTTCCCAATATTGCGCCAATATATTGTGCCACACGAAAGGATATCTCCGCCGGATACGAGCGTAAAGGCCGAATCAGACTAGCAATTGTTGACGCGTATTGGATTGGGACTGGCGATTGTCTTCTAGCCAATGAGAGTCGATTAAATCGCTGGCTGCTTTGCCCTCATTGGCTAGAGGACAATCGTCAATCGCCAATTCCAATCCAAGTCGAATTGGCAATTGCTAAGCCCGTATCAGACTACGGATTGATATTGAGATTAGATTGAAATTTGACCAATCAAAATAGAGATTACTAATCTCAAGTTTAGTGAGACTTTTACTCTCAATTCGTGGTCTGATACGGGCTTAAAGCCCGTATAAGATTTGCCTATGAATACCGTCCTCAGTCCGACACGGGCCTCAGAGACGTTTCATTTCTGTGCCCGCGTGTACGCGCGGCGCGGCGCTGCGTGGTCGATACGCAGATAAGGGAAAGTTAAAGCTTCGCCAAGTCGACCGCGCGAAAATGCCGCTACCGCGTCTCTTCGTCGCGTTGCATGTACGTTTACTGGACTCGCCGGAGACGAATGGAAAGTGTTCAATGAACCAAGGACGTTACTAGACAAACATTAGACTCTTGAAAAGCGTCGTTTACTCCTAAGCATTGACAATTTAACGTTGTTCCGAATTAACGAATAAAACTACATCTAGAGGACAGTCCCCTATTATGAGACAGGCTCCTAATACGAGATAGCGGGGTTCAGCGAAATTACTAGGCGCCGTCTGTTGGTTCCCATGAATTTATTGCCCTTGGAGTGATATCTGCTTGATGGAAACTTCATTGAGGTCCACGACTCCTAGAGCTTGGTCCAAGTTCTAGTTTCGAGAAATGTGTATAGCCAATCAATTTGCAGCTTTTATGGAATAGCTACAAGTTGATTGGCTACACACATCTCTCGGAACTGGAACTTGGACCAAGTTCTAGCATCGTAGACACAAGTCTTTAGATCGTTGCGAAAAAAGATACGCGATTGAATTTAGATGTTGAAAACCTGCTATCTCATATTAGAAGCCTCATAACAGGGGACTTTTCTCCAGTGCCGTACAAAGAGCCAATAAACGATTTTTCTGCGTAAATCGTCGATCAAACATGCACAGTTTTGTGACGCGATGTCTCCAATCGCGAGACCGCCGGACAATCCCGTCGCTCGCGAACTTACCGTTTCAGGTGTCCGGTTGACATTATAGGCCGGCACGTTCGGTTGTCCGCGTCGAGGAACCAAGGGCAGGCGTCGTCGACACGGACGAAGACCGGTGCTCTTTAACAGTACAATAGCGTCGGCAGGTGTCGCGACTCAAGCGTAATCACGGAAGTACTCGCGGTGGCCGTCGGATCTGCCGCCAGAGCCTTCCTTCACTCGCACTTGATTAGAAACAAGTTTACCTTAAACTGATTTTCTCCCCCTGAACTTACGCGTCGAACTTGTCTCTCCGCTCTCGGCCTTGTTATTTATCTCGAACTTTTCAACGAGGTGTCGGCGCGCTCGGCGCTCGGAGCGTCTCGAGGGCCCGGCGCGCGAAACAAAAAAGCCGTTCGTTATATAACGCGCGCGTGATTCTCACCCTCTCGGACTCGACACCCGCGTCTTTCCGCCTCCGACGAAATATCGCGAACCGATGTCCGGGGCGGCGACGTCGCGCCTGGAGTTCGTCGAACCGCGAGGGCCTCTATCCGTCGGCCGGCCCTCGGCGAACGTCCCCTGCTTATCGGGACGGCCACGAGGGAAACTCGTTCGTGCGCGTCCGCGGTCGCGCGACAGCGTAAAGTCGACTGCACAATCGCGTGCGGTCGCATTACCGCGTACGTGCGCGATGCGGCGTGCTGTACGCGCGACGAGATCGCGGCCCCACCGCGCGCTAGGCGAAACTAAGGTCCCTCGGGATACACCCCGCCCGGGGGCCCGTACACGCCTAGGTAACCACGGAGGCAGGTGGCGGTAGACAGGTGAACGTGTTGGCGGAACACAGGAAGTGCCGGAGACAGAGAGGCGATACGCGGTCCCCTTCGGGTAGAGGGGGAGCGACGACGAGGGAGAGAGAAGGAGTGAGAACTCATCGCCGAGCAGAATTGCGGAGAACCGCGCGCGTAATAACCGCGGGAGAATCCTCCGAAAAGCGCACGCCCCGCGCTTTGAATCCTCTCGACGGGGGTAATTCCCAGCGAGAAAGGACTCGTCGATCGACGTCGAGTTTACGTCAGGTTCGATGTCGAGGCGACGTCGATCGACGAATTATTTCTCGCCGGGTTGTGTCTCCCTTTACAAACCGACGCCCTCGATCGCATCGATAATCGATCGGGAAATCGAGCGTGACGATTCGAATTCGTTCGTTCGAGAACTCGAGGAATTTACCTGGACTTGGGCGCGCCTCTGTAAATTGTACGACACACCGGCGAGGCAAAATTTTCCTTCGCTACCGTTAACGAATGGCATTAACAAGAAATGAGAAATAGCAATTTGTTAATATATCACGACGACGAGACTGCACTGAAGGCAGAAGAGGGGGCGAGGACTCGCCGAGAGTCCAGAAACAGAATTACGAAGAACCGAAGCGCAAGAACCGCGGGGGAATCTTTTGAAATACGCTCGCGTCGCGCTATCAAGTCTTGCGAAAAAAAAGTAGGTCCTTTTCGCAAAATTATGTCAGCGACATACAAAAATCGAGCGCGCCGTCGAGTCGAGTTAATTTATTCCAAGACTCGGAAAATTAATCTGAATTCGATCAGGTTTGACCTGTCGCGAATAAAAAAAAAACGCCTCGTTTTATGATCGAAAGCCAGTGCCGCCTCGGTTTCCCACTCCAGTTGGGGAAAGACCGGCCTCGTATTGTGGATCGTAAGCCTAGCATCTCGCCCACGATATTCTAAGAAACGTGACTTACGATACATAGCAATGATACACGCGCAGCGGATGTCGTAATAATAACATTTAGAGCTGACACTGCATCGCCTTTGTCGGGTCACATCGCCTAATGGCACCGTTTCGTGTCATCGACAAATAGTAGAGTCCCCAGATACGAGCTCGAATATCTCACGAATCAATCTCCCCTCTCTTTTCGAGTACGAAACTGTGTACCTATCAATTGTGTACCTGGAAATGTTCGGAATTATTCCTCTTCCCTTGGACAACACAATAGAAATCTAGGAAATAATCGACTAATTCCGGATCGAAATCAACTCCGAGCATTTCCACGAGAGCGAGATAGGCGGATTAATTCCACCCTGGGATTAATCGACATATCATATCTCGGAAAAATCCGCGAGGACGTCTAAGAGAGCCGCGAAGAGGAAAGGCAACGTCGTCGGAAATCAGAACAGGATATATCATCCCGATATCGCGTACATGTATGTACATCCCGCTTCGGGTTCTGCTCGTTCGCCTCGAGAGAGTTCACCGTGCTAAGCAACAACATGGCGTTATTATGCCGCTTGCGACTCGCCGCGTACAGGAATAGCTCGCACATGTCTCCCTCTCTCTCTCTCTCCCCCTTTCTTTCGCTCTTTTGCTTCTCTCTTTTCTCTCTTCCCTGATACGCGCATACATATGTCGTTGCGAGCGTTCACGTAGGAAAAGCGTGTGCTCTCTCTCCCCCCCCCTCTCTCTCTCTCTCTCTCTCTCTCTCTCTCTCTCTCTCTCTCTCTCTCTCTCTCTTGCTCGCTCGCTCGCCCTCTCTCTCTGTTCTCTGCTCTCCTCTTTCTTCTCTTTCTCTCCTCGCTCCTCTTCTCCTTCTTTCTTCCTGTCTCGACGGAGGACGGCACACGCGAAGAGCCGCGACACCGTTCTCCTCTGCCGTTCTCCACTCGTCGCAACGCGACAGCGAAGTCATTGACTGTGAAACCGGGGTGACGAATATGAACGAGGAGCACGAGAAGTTTCAGAGTCTGTTGATGTCTTCGGCCGCGAGCGAGACAGTATGGCGGTCGAAATGCACTTCGGAAGAAGAAATGTAACATGCGATATACACGACGCATCGCTCGCGTAATTGCGCGAAACGTACACGGGGAGAATTTTCCTTTACATTTTGTGAGGGTTTTTTTTTTGAGATGCCATGTTGTCCCGCGATCACATGATTTTCGGGATAAATTTTAGGAGAAAATTCCCTCCGTGTACATACGACGATTGTGGAGAGTAATAAAAGGAAAAATGGGCGCGTCTATAAAGAAAAAGAACTGTTCTACAATACTGTTTTTAACGTAGTGAGAAAAATTTTACAACAGTCTACTAAATATAATTGTTCCTGTCCTTCTCCTACAATTATAACTTAATTATAACCGCGTTGTCATATTGTATGTATCCTGATTTCATAATCGCGTCCAAGTTATCAGCGATATTATTTCATGCCCTCCGCTGATGACGTCACTTTGATGTCATTTTGACTTCGTCTTGACTTTTCGTTCTGCTTGAGCGAAAGTCGCTCTACCTACGTCATCGAGACGCTTAATTCATACGCAAGAAACGTTGACGTTTACGCAACTTATGACACGAATGCAACGTCCTCGTGAGATCGGCAATAACCGACCGAGTGAAATTTATCACCTAGGTAATGGAAAGTCTTCTATTATGAGACAGTTCCTAACATGTGACAGCGGGGTTTCTGTTAAATTAACAAGCATCATCTGCTGGGGGGTCGATTCTGTATCTTGCACTACAGTGAAAATGCTGAAAGTGAATAGCTTTGTCTCTCTCTAACCGTCCCCTTAAAAAGAGACGAAGCCGCTCACTTTTAGCATTTTTACTGTGTTGTAAGACACATAATTGAACCCCTGGTTCCACCATGAATTTATTGCTCTTGAAGTGAAATCTGTTTAGCGGAAAATTCATTGTTAGATCGTGTAATTGTCGTGAAAAAAGATTTGTGATCGAATTTGGACGTTGAAGACCTGCTCCCACATTAGAAGCCTATCTCATCGTACAGGGGACTTTCCTCTCTAAACGTTACCATTGACAAAGTCACAGATATTACCGACGAGGTACAAGGCGGTCGGTAACGACGGTTCCTTCATTACTTCGGGACGATCATGAAGTTTTATCCAACGCTTCAACGACACTGTTGCGATTACCAGTCGCACGCACAGAGGGCACTGTATGTACGTTCGGTCGCACGGTTTCTTTTCTGTTCGCTCTTCTTTCCGTGTCGCTGCGCTCCTTCGTAAGTGTATTTATCCCGGCACAGGTGTAAAAGCCGCGTAGCGGTTGATGCACGGACAATTGTGTTAATAAACAGCGTCACGCGAGAGAGATAGTTTGTTCGAACTTCGAAGGCCCGAGTACGGGATTAGTGTTCTAGTCGCGGTGAGGAGAAGACTTGTACAAGTTTCCTCCGGAATAGCCGACGCCTCTCCCGCGGATCGTACAATCGGACGAGTGCGTTTATACGGCCCGTCGAGAAATACAGTCGCAACGTGACCGCATCACCGGGAGATCGCTCGCGCGTTGACAGTTCGGCCGATCGTGCGACGCAGACATGTCTAACGCGATAAGCGGCAAGAACTTGCTGCGGCCGAACAGCCTGCAGTGCAAGAACCTGCACGAGTACTTGAAATCCCGCACCCCCGACACCCTGAACAAGCTGTACCACAAGCCGCCCATATGCCTGGCCGTGTTCCGCGAGCTGCCCGTCATCGCCAAGCACTACGTAATGAGGCTGTTGTTCGTCGAGCAGCCTGTGCCACAGGCGGTTATAGCCTCCTGGTGCTCCAAGCTGTACTTCGAGGAGCACCAGAAGGTGGTGCAGATCCTGAACGAGCTGTACGTGTGGAAAGAGGCGTCCATACCCGGCGGGCTGCCAGGCTGGATCCTGAACAACACCTTCAAGAAGAACTTGAAGATCGTGCTGCTGGGTGGCGGCAAGCCGTGGACCATGTCCAATCAGCTGGAGACCGACAGTAAGCCGCGAGACGTCGCCTTCCTGGATTCTTATGCGTTGGAAAGGTGGGAGTGCGTCTTGCACTACATGGTCGGCTCCCAGCAGCAGGAGGGTAAGATCTTGATAACTTCTTCAAAACGTATACCGTCCCGGATAGCCAAACCTGCCGGAACAAATTTCGCCGAACACCTGTTAAAAAGTTTAAAAGTTAGTTTTAAAAAGTTAGTGAGGGAGAAGATATCGAATTTGATAAACTCAGTTTTCCTCGACGAGAAATGTTTTTTAAAATAAATTCACAGCTGTCTCTTGTCAACAATTTTGAAATTTTGTATCAACATACCGTGTATGTAAAAAAAATATGTTTAATTGTGCCTAAATAGTTTTTATTGAAGCACAACTTATATCTGAGACACATTTTTGTCCCAAAATATCTTGTGGTTTCGTATAAAGAGTTTCCAGGAAGATTGTAAATGTGTAAATTACATCTAATTTAGTTAATTTTGCAATAGGTATATCTGCTGATGCTGTCAGAATTCTTCTGCACGCGGGTTTAATGAAGAGAGACGAAGCTGACGGAAGCCCAGTTATAACGCAAGCCGGTTTTCAGTTTCTACTTTTGGACACGGCTTCACAGGTAGTTATCAGTTCTCTTTCAGAGATATGAAGATAGAAATTTGTTGAGACGGGAAACTTATAGTCAACCCAACTGGCTAGTTATTTTATTAGTTTACTACAAGGTTTCGACCATATTTTTTGGGTCCCTGTCAAGTGGTGCTAAGTTAAGCCCAGCAACCACAGTGCTCACACTTATGCGTACATTTTATAATCTGACTCTGTCTTATTTGACGACGATGACTGACTTAGTACCACTTGAATAGGGTCGAAACGTAGTAAACTAATGAAGTAACCAGCCAGTTGGGTTGACTATAAGTTTCCCGTCTCAATTTTTAATCATTACTTGTGACGATAAGCGAACTCTCCTGTTACAGAAATTTGTCATATTAGAGATACGTTTTCGCATTCGAAATAAGATTTGAATTAAGTATTTTCATACGTAATTGCTTCATGTGTTATTGTTGCACAATCTCTTTTTGGTATTGTACAAGTTACTTTGTACGTTACAAACATTTTCTTTACATAGGTCTGGTACTTTATTCTACAATATCTCGACACAATCGAGGCACGTGGTCTTGATTTAGTAGAGTGCCTTACCTTCCTGTTCCAATTAAATTTTTCCACACTTGGTAAAGATTATAGTACGGAAGGAATGTCCGAGGGTCTCTTGACATTTTTACAACATTTAAGAGAATTTGGACTTGTTTATCAACGAAAACGCAAAGCAGGAAGGTAAAGTAGATAAAACTCGACGCGTGTTACTTGCCAGATAACCGCAATTACTGATATTTCTGTTAATTTGGATTGCAAGGTTTTATCCAACTCGATTAGCGTTAAATATTGCTACTGGTGAAAATAAACCTTTAACCAGAGATACAGACAAGGAAGGGTATATAGTTGTGGAAACAAATTATCGAGTTTATGCTTATACGAACTCGAATCTGCAAGTTGCATTGCTTGGACTTTTCTGTGAAATGTTGTATAGGTAAGTGCGATCTATACAAAAAATATATACGCAAGATCGGTTCTGCAACACATGCCCGCATACAGATGTAAAATTTTAAAGACGTAAAGATATTGCTTAAAAAAACCCAAAAATTTATTTCGTAATATCGGATACTGCTTCAGCAGCAATTTAAGAAAGAGTTCAACCTTCGAATGCAATAATTTATTTCGATTTGTTGTGCAAATTTCTTTGTACGTATAATTATACATTTCTTTGTCATCCCGTTTTTCTAAATACATTCACACAGGGGCGTAAAAATTATCGTTGCATGTAGATCAGTGAGGGACCAGAACCGGTGCTGTGTAAAATATGTATCTTAAAAAACGTTAACTACCTTGCTATTCTAGGTTTCCAAATTTAGTTGTATCGATATTGACTAGAGATTCCGTGAGACAAGCATTAAAGAGTGGAATAACTGCTTCTCAAATAGTGGGGTACGTAACTGCACTAATGTCTTAAATAGCCAAGTAAAGAAATGTTTTGTGTACTATATATTGTTTTATATCAACAGCTATTTGCAGCAACATGCACATAGTAAAATGATAGAAGCAGGACCACCTATATTACCACCTACCATTGTAGATCAAATTAAGCTGTGGGAAAATGAAAGAAATAGATTTTTGTTTAGCGAAGGAGTTCTGTATAGTCAATTTCTTTCGCAAACTGACTTCGAGGTTCTTAGGGATCACGCGGTCTCAACCGGAGTATTGATTTGGCAAAGCGAAAGGTAATTGTTATTTTAAAACATAATTAGAAAATGTCAAGTATATCACGTACGAATTGCCGAAAAATTTGTCATGACAAATGCTACAATTAATGATAAAATATACTTTTTATATTGTAGAAAGAGGACCATGGTGGTTACCAAAGCTGGCCATGATGATGTGAAAAAATTTTGGAAACGATATTCAAAAGGCTCGAGTTAATATTCGATTAATATGGTTCAGTTGTAAGCATTTTATGTATGTGTTGTTGTTTCCTATATTCTTACAAAAAAAATATTGTTCCAAGAAAGTGCCTAGAAAAACTAGAGAAGCATTCTTGACATAGACTGAAAAAAATGTTTTCTTTTTAATCGATGCCAAAGCTCTCTCAGGACAGACTAGGTTTTGATAATGAGTGTGATATTGAATTAATGAAATAAGCGTTTAGATATTTAATATTGTCTATTTTATTGCTACTCCAATTGTAAAATTTATACAATGAAGAGAGAATTGTTTGGAAATCGTCAAACTGTCTTATCATAACACTCGTCGCAATTTTTTACGTCATTATAAATAAATTACATATCGGAAACAGCCGCCCTAATATCTTTTCAAAATGACATTTGTAGAAGAAACTTAATATATTTTTGAATATCTTTCGGAATTTGTTCCGATAGCAATTCTGTAACACTCGTGCAAATAGTATGTTTATAATTTAAATCAACACTTAATAAAAATTGATGTCTGTTTTTCTAGACATCTGAAATGGAGACTATTAAATTAAAAAATTACAATAGGAGTATCGCAATAGGAACATTTAAAAAGAAAATCAAAAAGAAAATCTCTACTTTGTACATATTACCTTGTGTAATGACTGTACCTATTCATCTTACTAAGGATTCTTCGCTACATCGCGTATAACTTTTTACACTTTTTTTTTAAAGCACACCTGAAAAAATTACTCTTTTTCGGTAAAAATGTTTGTATTGTTTTTATCCTGATTTGTATTTCACAAGACTTTCCATGTGTTCAACTTCGTACGAATTGACGTATACCGGTATGATGCATTACTGTCTGATCGCGGTAGACGTGGGAACTGAGCCCTAGCGACATTTGGAACGAAAGTTAAATTATTTATCAGCCAGATTTTTACGTGTCTCCTTGTCCAACGCGAACTTTCATAGACGCTACAATTTGTTCGGCTAATCGCGCCGTTTTTCGTGTCGCTCGACTATCCTTTACTGTGCTTATCTTGGCTCGGCGTGACACCGATCGCATACAAAAATCATACGGTATCAAGAAAGAAAGGAAGAAAGAGACATCTTGACGCGACGCAAATCTTGGGTGGCAGACACGTGGACGAGTATCGCGTGTGTCACCGCACTGATTGCTGTTTCGCGAACTATAATTTCTGCGACGTCTCCTTTCTCTTCGCTCCGCAATGACGAATAGGAATTAAAGGAGCGCAGGACGATTTCCCGACAACCTGGGATTATCACGGAAAATGTTAGCGTAGCTGTAACACGTTATTAGTGGGTGCGTGCAATATAGTACCAGGATATGGGGGTTCGGAAAATATCAGCTGGATCTTGAGGAAGAATCGACATCCACGATACAAACCCAAGTCGGGGAAATGCATTCGGCTATGAAACGTTATTACAATGTTAACAAGATTATCATGTCGAACCTTGGCACTTGGCCGGAGCAAAATATATTCGTGAAGATAATGTTGCCGACGATAGCGATGGCTTTTATTTTCAGCATCGTTCTTCTCGAGGTAAAATTTCGCCGTTTTTTACGTGGTGTGATGAGATGAAAGCCTACTTTGTGCGTGAATATAATTCGCGAAAGAGGAAGATATGTGATTGTGCGATTAGCATATATGTGATTTATGCTGCATGAATTTCGCCTCACAAAATTCTTTGACATACCGAAGACACGTCAAATATTCATATCCTTGAAAGAAAAATTCAAAAGTATTACTCACATGTTGAATAAACATCTAAAACGTGCATCGTGACTCATTACGTGGTAAAAAAATCATGTATCTGATCCAATTGTGTTGCAAGTAATCTCGAATCGTTATCGTTTCTCAATATGATACACGAACATTTGAAGAAAAAAATCAAAACATTATATTAAATGAAATGAGTTCTTATTTTATAAATAACTTTTTTGAGAAAATATCTTAAAAATGACTGGAAATTTGTTAAACTTTCCATACATATTCGAGACTGTTGTTTTTTGTAAATCCTCACGGCCCTACTGTGTCCAGTAAATAATTAATTAATCCCACATGTACATGATATCGTACAGGACGATATTCATAGTCAGATTTTTTATTTAAGTTCGTCTTAAGATCATCTTTAGATACTCCGTAGTTATTGAAATGTTCCTTACAGTATCTTACATTAAGATAAACTTAAGGCGATCTTAAATATAAGAACTGACTACGATTACCGGATTAGAGAGTGTTTAATTGAAGTATAATTTTCCGAGAATCTAACTGTTTATAATTCAAAGTCCATTTCTGATATTTTGTTGAGAAAAAGTAATTGATACATGCGAAATTTAAACAAAGTGTGGCTGAAACAGCCTTGTATAGTTTACGTTTAAGGAAGTTTTAGAAAAATAGCAGATTGTTTTATCGCCTCTAAAATTATTCCTGTGGGCAATTCATATACATCGACTATCTAATTTATATTTATATATTCTAATTTATATTATTACTCTTAACGCAGGTAGGTGGAACATTAAAGGTGCACAGAGGTGTTTGCAATTATTATCGCCAATTTTCAGTTTGTGAGACTATCTGAGATATGGAGGCACCTGACGGATGACTGCGAATCCTTCATCATGTCCCTGCTTGGGATCGGCGCTTGTATTAAATTATTCCTCATAGTTCTCAACAACAAAAACGTAAGATTTCGTGAGCCGCTTTTCGCTCGTCCCTTTAAAAAAATCGCAAGAGGCAGGTTGTAACTATTGTTTTCGTTCATTGTATCCTAGATAGAACAACTACTGTTGCTCATAAACTATCACTGGCGCGTTTTCACGCATTCCTTGGAAGTACAAATTATGCACGAGTACGCCTTCATGGGAAGGAAAATAACAATCTTTTACTGTGGTAACAATGAGATGAATGACACGTGTGTCGTTTCGCTTTTAACGCTGACTCGCTAAACATAACTCACTCATTTTTCACACATGTATCATCGTGAATTTCACAGTCCATTTGATCTAAATAATGCGACTTGTTCGTTTATTCGCCAATGCGATTTTACATCACAATAATGCGACTTGCAGTTGTAATGTATTCAATGATGATCCTTTACTTGCTGCTGCCACTAATGCCACAATCATTGGATGTCCTCATACCTCTCAATGAATCGCGCCCTTACTTGTATTTGTTTGATATCGACTACAGCTTCGACAGAGAGGTGTATTTCTATCCTGTATTACTCCACTCGTACGTAACGATTGTATTGGCTGTAAATTGTTTGCTAGTAACTGATACGAGCTACTTGATGTTCGCGCAGCACGGGTGCAGTCTGTTCGCCGCCATCGGGTATAGTATCCATCCCACTCATTTCCCGAGAAACTTGATTGCGAAAGAAAATTTTCGCTTCTTCCTTAAATTCGCATACCGTAGTTGAAATGCAGATCCTACGTTTTAAGATGCCGACTAGAAAATCTGACCTCGATGAAAAGTTTAAAGAAAGGTAGCCACGTTAAGGATGCGGAGGTCGCTTACAGCAAGTACGAGCGGACAGATTACGATGACAGTTTCTATCGCGAACTGGCACTTCTCGTGCAAAAACATCAGCTGAGCCTCGAGTGAGTTTTTAATTGCATCGCATGTACTGCGCAAAATGTTCCGCATTGTAACATACCTTGTTTGCATATCTTTCAGATATGTCGATTTGTTGGAGTCCTTGTTCTATCTGTATTCGTTTATGATGATCTTTCTTCATTTCATCGTTATGAGCCTCCTCGGAATTCAAGTGAGAGCGATAATTTAAGACGTTGTCAAATAGAAATCGTCTCACAATTTCTTACCGTCGGTCTAAAAATTTACACGTCTTTCAGATAATTAACTTCATGAACCAGAAATCTGTATTGCTCAGATACGTGGCGATAGTAATAGGTGGTTTCATGCATCTTCTCGTTTTGAGTTATCCCGGTCAAGAAATAATGGATCATAGCGCAGATATATTTGATAAAGCGTAAATATTGTATATACCGAAGTTATCCGCGCGATGCAGCAAAGGAATAATTATTACATTTCTATATAATTATGTGTATATAGGGGCAATTTTTTTGTTATTTTCTCAAACTTTATTTTTTATTAAAAAAACAATATAAAAATTGTTTTTTATTCTTCTTTTTCTTATTTTTTTTCTATACGAATTGAGATTAACAAGAGGAAGAAAACTCACATGGACATATTTTATCCTATAGAGCACAAACTTCCAAGGGACTCATTGTTAGAGGCGTCCTCCGTTCCGAGGACGCATAAAAACGCCCCTTGGAGATTCGTGATAAGCTTAGGATAAAATATCTTTGAAAGTATTTTATTTTCTACCATTTTTATCAATTTTGTTCAAATTATTCCAATAGATATTCGATACTAACTGATTGATCGTTCACGAGAGATAAAAAAATTATATACAGGGTTTATTACTTTTAGATACAACATGTTGTGGTACAAAATGTCGCAAAGAACAAAGCAGCTATTGAGCATATTACTTTACAGGAGTCTTGTTCCTTGTACATTAACGGCCGGCAAAATGTACGTGCTGTCATTCCAGAATTATGCTTCGGTAAGAATGGCTGTTTTCAATTCGTGCAGCAACTACAATACTGCGAAAGTATGTTGCTATTTTAAATTTTAAGGTAATGCAGGGAACTCTATCATATTTCACCGCCCTTTCGTCGTTCAAGTAATTTGCAGTTAACAGAAAAGAAGAGCGGTTACGGTGGAATGATGAAATTACCGATTTCAATGGTTTAATTCTTATTATTGGAAAATTCTATTGTGTAGCAATGATAATTGCGGCAAAAGTTACATATGAAAGTGATAATCTGTTACAAAATGTGTTGTAGGTTTAGCTTTTTGATGTAATAAAAACTCTAAGATAGTTGTTATCGTTATAACGTTGTAGTCGTTACTATTTTTCTTTCACAAAGATCCGAACTGTTAATCGAAACAATTTCATCGTTAAAAAATTGTTTGAATTAGTATAACTTATATGAACGTTCGCTTGTCTTCCTGAAACTTTTCCTGTCTCTGACATCTCTGTTACGTTTTCACGCGTACTTTGGAAGTACAAATTATGCACGAGTTCGCTTTTATGGATAGGAAAATTATTACAGGTACAGTGGTAACGATGAGATAAATTACACGCATGTTGGTTTCGCTTTTAACGCCGACTCGTCACGCTAACATGTCGAATTCATTTTTCACATGTGCCGTCGTGAATTGCACAATCCATGATAAATAATGCGGATTGTTCGTTCATTCGTCGATTTTTGCATCACAATAATACTTAATGCGACTTGCAGTTATAATATATTTTTCACTATTTTTGCCGTGTTGTACTTTTCCAATTTTAATTATTTCGATAGGCATTCGAATGTAATCGATTGATCGTTTATGGAGATAAAACATTATAATACATACTGGATTATTGCTTTTAGATACAACATGCTGTGGTACAAAATGTCGCGAAGAACAACACAGTTACCCAGTGAGAAATGATTCATCGATCGATGTCGAAACGATATCGATTCGACATCGTTTCGACATCGATCAACGAATCATTTCCCACTGGGTATTGAGGAGGTATCTATAACGGAACGATGCAAAGTGGACGAAAAATACACTTTTCTACACCCTCAAAACGCAGTTCTTCGTATAAAAAGTCTACTGCCCTTACGGGCAGTTCTTTTAACTCTACTCAAACTTGAGTTTTTTCCGTAACACTCAAAACTTGAGTGTTTTTTTCCGTAAGGGTGTGCAGTCCGCACAATGTTCTGGTTTCATTTTGTGCACAGAAATCGGTAAAACATTTACGAGCGCAACGTATTTTTTATCATCCCTTATAAAATAACGCGGCAGACGGGAAGACCAAGCCATAGCATTCAGGATGAAATACTCGAAAATGAAAAATAAATTATATATCGGTTAAATTTTTACGATGTGTCATTCTCCCCGCGAACTTTTGTAGATGCTGTAATTTATTTGTCTTATGCCGGTTTTTCGTGTCGCTCAATTTTTCTGCTACGCTTATCTCGCACGCTTACCAGCGTGCCATCGCTCGCATAAAAAATCATACGGCATCAAGAAAGAAAGGGAGGAAAAACATAATACACGTGGACGAGTATCGCGTGTATCACCGCGGCAATTGACGTTCCGCAAAGTATATAATTCTTGCGACGTCTTTTTCTTCGCTCCAACAATGACAGGGAATAAAGGAGCGCGGGACTATTTCCCGACAACCTATGATTATCACAGACAATGTTAGCGTAGCCGTAACACGTTGTTAGCGGACACGCGCAATATAGTATTTGGATATAAGGGATCGGAAAATATCAGCTGAATCTCTTGAGGGAGAATCGACATCCACGACATAAAACCGAGTCGGGGAGATGCAGTCGGCGGTGAAACAATACTACAATGTTAACAAGATTCTCCTATCGAAACTCGGCATTTGGCCGGCGCAAAATATATTCACGAAGATAGTGTTACCGACCATAGTAACGGCTTTTATTTTCAGCATCGGATATCTCGAGGTAAATTCCCGTCGCTTTTTTATGCAGGTAGTGTGTGGCGGAGTGAAAATTCACGGTGCGCGAATAAAATTTGCGAGAGAGAAGGAGATGTGTGTGATTGTGGCATATGTGCGGACTATTTTAGATGAGATCAGTACAATGTAAATTTCGCAAAGTCGCCTTCCAAAATTTTCTGACGTACCGAAGATACGGCAAATATTCGCATCCCTGAAAGAAAAAGTAAATCTACTCTCACGTTGATTGAACATATTTAAACAATTATCGTGGTCAATGAAATTGTAAGAAGAGAACCTTGTCATTATCAAAGCCGGCCGATGACATAAAAATGTTTTGGAAACGATTCAAAAGGCTCAAGTGCGTAACGACGTAAAGCTGACGTAAAAACAGCTTTCTTCTACACTTTTGAACTCAGTGTTTGGTATAAAAATTCTACTTTGCAGTCCGCACAACGTCCTGGTTTTATTTTGTGCACGAAACTCGATAAAAAATTTACGAGCGCGATGTATTTTTATCATCCCTTATATTAAATAACGCGGCAGAAACCTGTTCCAATTGTGTTGCGAGTAATCTCGAATCATTATTATTTCCTAACGTGATGCACGTGTAAATATTTAAAGAAGAAATCTAAAAATCATGTTAGATAAAAGTTCTTTAAGTTACATAAGTGACATTTTTTCGAAAAAATATTTTAAAACTAACATTTTGGCAATTTGTTATGCTTCCCGTACAAATCATAAAAGCGTTTATTTATTATAGGTTTGAAGTTGAACAATTTTTTTTATACAAAATGTAAAATATTTAGTTTTCGGTAATCATAATCTTAATACTTTTAATCTTAATAC